TGACCTTGCTTAAAAAATCCCTAGCCCCACCAAAAATAGTCTCAACCACCACAATAACCATCTTCAACCAAACAAAAAATAGCCATCGGCACCATAAAAATCACTATCATTTGCCATTGTCATTGTCGTTCATCATAATCCTCACGAGAGTGATCATCGTTGCTGCCATAGTCCTCAATGTCAATAACAAGGAGAAACAATGATAAGGCAAAATGGTTAGACTTGAAAATTTGATGGAAGTGGAACTAAGTTTCATAAAGTTCAGTATGAAACTGGGTTCAATCATTTTTTATAAAAGTAACTTCCACGAGGAAGTTAATTAAGGCATTCCAAACACACAAAATTTAGGTTTCTAGTTTTACTTCCGTTTAGAAAGTACTCAATTCACTCTTACAAATAGGTTTATTAGGCATTTCAAGCTAGCCTATTTTTGGATTGAAGAAAAGGTTGGTTCATTATCTTTGACTATTTAAACTCATATCCTTATTTAAACTTATTAATATTGGCCCAAATGAATTTGGCTTATACAAATTGGTGTCTCTAACTATGATAAAATAATAATAAATACCAAATTTCTGATAATATCTTTTTGGGTGGGCATAAAACATCTCATATCTCTAATGATAAGACTTGGCAAGGAAAAAAGAAAAAGAAAAAGAAAACTAACCATAAGGTTTGAAAATGAAAAGTCCTCCGTCATTTTGATGCCATGAATATTTCCTAGAGATGAAAAAAGTTGAGAATGGTAGTGACGTGGGGGGGCGCGCTGATTGAGGAGGAAATGAATCTCAAATAAAAAAAAGTTGGATAACCAACCTTACAAATTTGAAAAGATGAACAAAATGGTTTTATTTAGAAATGACTATAATTATGTTTTTTCTTTGTTTCTATGGATATCCCATAGCCGACAACTATGAAATCAATTTTTCAAAAAATCCTAACATCATTTAAAGAGTTGCCATTTATCAAGCGATGTTTTTCATATATACCTTCAGACTAAAAGATTGCAAATTTTGTTAGAGGCTTAGTGATGTCAATCTCAAGCAAGGCCAAAGGTTTCTTGGTTGGTCAATTTATTACAAAGTTAAATATAACTTTTGGTCCATAGAAATATAATCAACTTGGTTTAATGTCTTTGTAGTTTTGTGTCTTTATGGTGAGTATCATTAGAGATAACATATCACTAAATAGCATTCGGATGATGGGGTGGTGACATATTACTAATGTGGTAACTGGTAAATATGTTTAGTAACAATGACAATTTTGACCAATGTTGACTACAATTTTAAGAATTAAGAACTCCGTTTTGCCCATCTAAAATTATCATTTAGAGTCACAACCTAGATTTGACCTACCTAACTAAATGGAATGTGAAAATATCAGTCATGCTATATTAGTGTATTTGAAGCTTCACAGAACACAACTAAGTGATGGTCCGACGGCGGAGCAATATTGTTAGATGGACCGCCATACTACCTTAGAAGGCCTGCTAGAGCTTGGGTAGTATTGTTGGGCTGCTTTCAATGCAAAAATTATCTTCCTCTGTGTTTCTCTCACGCACACTCCCTCATGTTCTTAATATAGGATGGAGTTTGAATGATTTTTGGTCCTAAAAATATAAGACGATATTAAAATAATTAATGTTTTTTTTCTAATTTTATCCATTTTTATTTCTTTCCATTTAAATTTCTAAACAATAATTTATTATAATTATTAATTATAAAAAAATGATAAAATTGGAAAGTAAAATATTTATTTTTTACAATTTTAAAGTCATAACTAACATTTCTTAAAAAGTGTGAAGTTTGGTAATTTTGTCTCATATTAAGGACTGGTGTAATGTATTATAAATAATACTTCATCCATTCAAAAATATAAAACGTTTTAACTAAATTTTACTCCCAATTAATTACTTATTTTTAAATTAACATTATTTTTTCACATTTATTCCTATTTAATAAAATATTTTGCTCTAAAATAAATATAAAGCAATTTATTCAAGGGTGATTTTGAAAAAAAATGCATAATTATACTTTGAAACATTAAAAATGATTTATATTTTTTAACATATAACTCTTTAAAAAACATCTCACATTTTTTAATGGAGAAGTATTATGATTGATGATTTGTGCCGAAAAAAGTCTTTTACTCATTGCTGCAAACCAAATGATTTTAAAAATTAAAAATGACCTACTAAAGTTGATGTGAAGATCTCGTTATTTAAATAAGTGATTGAGAATTCATACTTCAATTCTTATATATATATATATATATAGAAATTTAGTTATAAAAGATCTATCCTTTTCCTTCCTTACTTTAGGAGGGATAATCTATGATGTTGGCAGGATTTACTCATTGTGATATAAAAAAATTAAAAATGAGATAAAACAAGAGATTAATCACGCAAGCACAAATAGAGATTACATTGATCATTACGGGAAAAATTAATCATTTTTTCCTATTTTTTTAATTTGATTACAATGCAGTTCTTTAACTTTAATTTAGCATAACTTAATCTCAATAATTTCAGTCAATTATAATTTAGTCTTTGAATTTTAACTCAATATAATTCATTCCTTATAATTTTTTTATATAAAATATTAGTTCCTAAATTTAAAAAAAAACTCCATTCTTTATAATTTTATTTTTTTAAATATAAACATCAACATTTTATATAAATAAAATTATAAGAATTGAGGGCCATTTCGTTATTGGAATAAAATGAAGATGAAAAGAATGTGTTGATAATGAATAAAATAGACTAAAATAAAGTTGTATATTAATAGATAAATGAAAACTACACAGAGGTGAAAGCCTTGGCGCAATAGAAATATGGGAATGGGGATTGATGACCTTGATCATGGCAATCCCCATTCACGCACTTCTATCATCCTATATCTTTAATTGTTCTATTGTTTTCATCTTTCTATTATTCCATAATTTTATTTTAATTCATGTTGTTATCTATAAATTATTCCATTTTATTTCTCTTTAATAACCAAATGGGTCTTGAGTTACAAAAATTAAAATTTAAAAATTGAGTTTTAATCAAATTAAAATATAATGATTGAATGCAGTGAGTTAAAATTTAAAAACTAGATCATAAATCAAAATTTTATGCACTAAATGACTGATGATGATTTGTTCCCATTATAAAATACTTTCAATTATTTTACTGAAATTCAAAATAAAAATTAATTTAAATATGTCTTAAAAGGAAAAAAATTAACTTTATCTTTAACTAAAATAGAAAGAGACACGGTAAACAATGAGCCATAAAATTAAATTTATAACAAAATAAAAATGGAAAATATAATATGGAGGGGAGGGTGTGTGTGCGTATACATATTTAAAAGAAAGAAAAATTAGGGGTGATCACGGGACGGGACGAGACCGGGACACCCCTGTCCTGTGTCCTGTCCCAAAAAAGAGATTGGGACTGAATTTGGATTTCTTATTCCGTCCCATCCTGAAAGTTGTCCCGTCTTGTTAAGAGTCAGGATGGGATCGGGATAAAATCGGGACGTCCCGCCGTCTTAATAAATGGAATAATATCGAAAAAAGATTTGAATAATGACGTTCATTAAAATTTTAAATTATATAATTTATTAAGTTTAAAATCAAAATAACACAAGCACATAAATAACAATAATTTAAAATCAATTATTGAATTATATCAATCACAACTACATATTATAATAATAAATACAAGTGATCTTTATGTTATAAGATTAACAACAATAGGCAAGTCAAACACAATATCAAATCATTGTTCTTCTACTTAGTAAAAATGTACTAAGCTAATTATTCTTCTAAAAATAAGCAAAAAAATATGTTATAAATAAAATTTATTAAATAGAAAGATATAAGAATAAATTATATTAATATAATTAATATATTATAAAGAAAGATATCGTCATGTTTACTCCATGCCATTAAAATTATCAATTAAAAAAATTTTAGTTTTAAATAAGAATTGTAAGTATTAAAATTATAATTGATATAATTAATATAAGTATAAATTATATTAATATAATTAATATATTTAAAATAAAAAATAATATATATAATATTCGGGATGGGACGGGACGTCCCGATGGTAATCCCGTGTCCCGTCCCGTCCTGAACCCCTTTTCTATCCCGTCTCATAAAGTCCCGTCTCGATTATGTTCGGGTCAGGATAAGACCCATCTTGATATGATTGGGATAATACCGTGTCAATCGAGACGGGTTCAAACTGAATACCACTAAGAAAAACATCACTGAAGAGCATTGAGGATATTTAATATTAATTAAAAGTTAAAAGATTTTGAAATATCACTACAAAATTGTGGGACTAATTTAAAAATAATTTTAAATAAAAAGATTATAATATCCTTACCTTTCTTTTTAATTAATAATTAGCCATTTATAAATTAATAAGTATTTATTTACATTTAACAAAAATTTTTTATTAATTAATAAGTTCAAGATTTTGAAAGAACTTGGTTATGGGAAGGGATAATTATATATCATATTTTAATAAGTAATTATTCGCTAATTAATAAGTACCCATTTACATTTAATAAGAAGTCATTCGTTAATTAATAAATTTAAAAATTTAAAAAAAAATTAACTGTAAAAAAATATAAATGTATATAATGTTTTAACAATAGTCTTTTATTAATTAATAAATATCTATTTATATTTAATAAAAAATTATTTACTAATTGATAAATTTAAGAATTTAAAAAAAATTAATTATGAAAATAGACAAATATAAATAATTTTTTAATAAATAATTATTAAATTAATAAATATTTATTTATATTTAATAAAAAATTATTTATTAATTGGCAAGTTTTAAAAATGAAACAGAAAAGCAACGTTATTAAAATATTTTTTATATAAAATTATTTTTAAATTGATGCCAGGATATTGCAGTAATATTTCATAATTTTTTGATCTATGTTAAATTACTTTTTTGATCCTTGATTGATATTTTCCCGTAAAAGAATTGATGATTTCTCATTTTACGAGAGGAATTAGGTTGGACGTCATCGAAAAACCGAGGGCTTGGCGGCTTGCTGGGGGCCTTTGGATGCAGGCGTGTATCCGGTGACCGAGAGTGTTACCGGAGAAGAAGCAATCGTAGCCAGCGGTGTTAGCGTTGCTGGAGACAAGGGAGAAAAAAAAAAAAATCTGTCTATAGGGCTTTATTTGTGCGAGAACGACAAGGGAAAGTCGGGGGTGAGGTAGTTCGGTGCATCAACGTCACTGTCGGCTGACACTTGACGAGGAACAGGGAATCGACGCCGGGGGTGACAGTGGCGAGAGAGGCTATTGAAAACTGGCGGGTTCGAGTGCGTTGGAGGCCGAAATTTTCTCATACAAGGTTTGCATTCTATACACCTAAAGGCTAAATCTCTCTTTTCATGCATCATTTCAATGATATTATTGTAGTTGTTCTCTTTGGCTATTACATCTGTGTGGAGCAAAGGTTTTCGTTTAAGCTAGAGTGGAAAATTTGCCGATGTTCGGCTGGGCAGATCTTTTATGCTTTTTTGCAACTAATTTCTCAATCTATGAAAATGTTGAGCATATTTCAGTTCTCTTTATCAATCTATCCAAATGTGTTAATGTTCAATGCATGCTCTGCTCAACTTATTCTGGGTGAATCCGGTGCACATACCTCTTGATCAACCTGTTCCGCTGTTTTATCGGTAGTTCGGTAAATTTGTCTTCCTGGACCCCGCGTGCCCTGCCTCAGGCAATCATCTATCCTCCGTTTGAAGGAAGCTTCCTTCCCTAGTTGCTGCACTGTTCTCTCCCTCTGTGCAACCAAACGTGCGAGCAGGTGGAATGGAGACTGCTTTTTGTTTCCCATTCTGAAATCTAGCCAACCGAACGGGTCCTAAAGTGACGACAACACGCATATTACATACAATTGACTGTTTATGTTAACTCCATCTATGCGTGTCCATGATTTCATTGAGCTAATTGTTTTTAATTTTCAAGTATGGTCTCGCTAAACGTTACAATGAATTTTTTGTACGTAGGGCTATCCAAAGTTGACGCTTTAGAGTTTTGGAAGAAATTTTACTTGCAAACTTCTTGTCATGGTATGTTCTACATCTAATATCTTACTCTATTAATCTGTTTCTTTTTGTTTGATCTAACCTTAGCTCTAGGAATCTGGACATGATACACTTAATGTTGGTCAAGGGCTACCGAATTGTCCATTTCTATTACTAGTCGTCCAACATTTCCAATTCACCAAGTTATGCATGGTTCTTGATTTATAATTAATGCGTCTTTTGTACAAAATCTTAGAAAACCTTCCTTCTTTTTCTCTTTACTTTGAGTGTAATGATGATGATTTGCTGCTTCGAAATTTAACACACTTTATATCTACAGCTTTCATTACTATACTGAAATGATGGATCCTTTTTATTTGGAAATTATAAGTTTTTCATGTGTTTCATTTTCATATTTTCAACTTGTGGTTATTCTCAATTGCATGCCCCATCTACTTGTTGCACAGTCCATGTTAGGTCTTGCATCTGGCACCTGCTATTTTTAGAAATTACTTTGGAAACAAATCTTTAACTTCTGGAATTCTTGAGTTTCCCAACTGGTTGATAGAAACTTGAGGGACTGGTGTGATGCATTCTATTGTTTTCTGCGTCATCATCTTGTTGGGCACATAATTTGGTGGAATGACTGAGTGCAGGATCCTATTGGTTATGTGGATGATAAAAGTGAAAGCAGACTGTATATTGGTAACCTCGATCTTAGAATAACAGAGTAAGTACCTACTATTAATATCCTAGTGAGATATGATTTTGTCCTTGTTTTCATGCGCATTCTTATTTCTCTCCAATTCTCCTCCCCAGAGCAGCTCTTATAAAAATGTTTTCTCCTTATGGGAAGATTATATCTGAGGATTTCTTGTGGCACACTCGTGGCCCTAAGCGTGGAGAGCCACGCGGCTTTGCTTTTATTCAGTATAGCTCAAAAGAGGTAATTTGACTGTGTATTTTAGTTATTATGCTTTTCAAGCAATCCCTGATTTCCATTATTAAAGTGAGTATGCAGGAAGCAGAAATGGCCAAGGAGAAAATGCACGGCAAATTAGCTTGTGGCCGGCCACTGGTTGTTCGGCTTGCTAGTGAGAAGAGCCAGTTAGAAACGGCCAATAACTCTTCAAAAGCCATGGGAGAAGGGCACAAGATACACTTTACAGGTAATGGCGTAGGACAGACAAGTCGTAGTGCAAAAATAGCTGCAATAAAGAACAAGTTGAAATCAATAGAGGAGGAGAGCTCTAGGCCCAAGAAACAGAAGCAAACTGATGATGTGTCTTGAAGCAGTTGTAAACCTTGTAATTTATTAAGCCAGTGATAAGATTAAGGGACTTGAAAAATATCAATGGGCTGAATGCCTGAATCTGTTTATGATTGACTCTTGTTAAGCCACCGATATATGTGATGTGACCCGGCTTTTTCTTTGTTTTCTGTCCAACCGTGACTTATTTCTTTGCATGGTTAGAAATTCTTACATGTAGTCGTTAATGAAAAGTGGCAGGATGGGTAGAGGCGGAAGAAGCACGGCTACCATAAATTGTTTTCTTACGATGGGATGGGACGAGCAGCTGCAAAAGCCGGCAAAATTATGTGCTTTTGTGGAAAGTTTGGAGTCTGAGGGTTGGTGTGGTGTGGTGAATGTGAGCCCCATTGGTGGGGCACGCCATTGAAAATAACGAGATAAGATATGTCGCAACGCACAAGATGATCCCCAGACCTGAAAGATCAGTGGTGGGGCAGGCTTGCTTCGGCCCATCCTCTTCCAATCACTGATTGATCACTGTCAATTTCTTCCCCTTCTGTATAATCTAATTAAAAATTTAAAATTAATGTCTAACATTCACGTAAACATCATAACCAGGAACAGGAGAATCAAGATCTGACTAATTAAGTATAAAGCATCAGATAGAGTGATAGTGATACTGTGAAGGACGCACGCTTTTCATGCAAACAATGGCTAAATTTATTGGGATAGTTCAGAGGACTAATGAAGTGGAACTAATTTATCACTAGAGAACCAACCACTGGCAAGTGCTCCATTCAATGACTAATTTAGACACAGTCCGTGACGTGTTCTCTTTTAGAGAATTCTCCGCACACAATCTGTACATAAAGAAACATGGTCACGGAGGTGGAGTTTGTCGCCACTGCATGCACGATCATCATTGAAGGATGGGACTTCTGCTTTCCCTCAGAGCAACTCTCCTTTTTTCTAAAAAAAGAAAAAGGGCATTTCCCTTGTTCTGCTTTCTCCTCACATGAAGTTTCTCTCACTGGACGCTCCTCTCTTCTCTTCCTCGACCCCATTTCCATTTTTTCTTCCGCCCTGCTCTATAGTCAATACGTTATCAAAACCAAATCTTCCCTCCACTTCATCTGATTTCTTCCGCTACACTTTCTCGATACACAACAATAGCCAAGTTTTCTGTTTTCGTCTTTCCTTCCTGAGTTGCAGTCTATGGCTTCCAAGCTCCTTCTTCGCACCCCATTGTATTCTCCGTCATCGCCTCATGTTATTCCCTGTTCATCTACCCCTCAAAATCTGGTGAGGTTCTCTCCCAAAAGTTCCATTTCTCATGACCCACTATCGTCTGCTTCGTTGAGGAGTAACAAAATCCGAACCCCATTTCTCTCCCCTGTTCCTACCACCACCATTACTGATCCTTATAGAAAGTCAAGTTCAGCTCCATTTTTGACGACAAGGGTCACATCCAAATTAAGCTTCCCTCTTGTTTCCCCCAATGACTATTGGGGCATGTGGACTTTTCTGTTTGCCTCCGGTGCTTTTGGCATATGGTACGTAATGAAAGCGAAACCCTGCGAAACGTTGATTCTTCTCCCCTTGTTCATGTTTTTGTTTTTAATTGGTTGCTTATTTTAATTCTATCGTATAAAACTAAAAATTATTACAGCAACAACAATAATAAATCTTATCCCTCTAGGCAGGGTTAGTCAACAGAATTTAATTTCTTGAGTTGCAATAATTTTTTATTTAGTATTGGAGCTTATATCCTGTTGATTAACAGCTGATATAACCACGCTCATATTTTGGCTTTCATCAGAGGCGTTGATAAAGGTTAGTCTTAAATATGATGATAAATATAGTTTAATTAGTAAAAACTTGGCTTGTATCTCATCCAGACATTACTTAAAATTCTAATATTGATACTGAGAACTTTGTTAGTTGGAATTTTTTTGGCTATGGGTAATGTTCATATACCTTTATATATATATATATTTTGGTTGTGAGGCCTTTTAGGGTCCTGGCCAGCCTTCAAACTCGACTTACCAACTTTTCTTGTCTAGAAAAAAATATTTTTAGTTCTAATTTGTATAATAGGCATAATTTGGTTATGTTGATCTTAATTGGGTCGATATGGTATTACATCATTTTGAAATTATAAAAACTAAATCCCCTGCTATAGTTCTTTTCTTTTAATGGCAAAAATTAGGAAGTTGCGGCAACCTGCATAAGTATGTGATTTGAGTTACATGGACTACTTACGTAACAAGTAATCAAACAAGATCATTCCACATTGATTCAAAACTGGGATGAAAATGGAATGAAGAGGGAGGCTTACCCCTTACGTGCCTAAAGATGTCATAATTTGATAAAAGATTTCATGCGGCTCAACTTGTGTCTATCTCAGCAAATTATCTGAATCATCATAAAGAATGCCAAGACAAAATAATTGTTCTGCATCCTCAATTTAAACTTGAGCAGCGGCTGGATTTAAGAACCTAGTTTTTAAAGCTTGATCGTTATTTGGAGCTGAGGTATTCTTGACACTAATCATGGTAAGCACTGTGGTATATTATTTGAAAGTGAAGGTCAGAAAACACCAAGATTGGGAGTGCCATTAGTGGGTGTGTGACCAGCATTCTGGTGGGCCTTACAGCTAGCAGTTTGGGAATCGTTGGCAGCAATGCTCCGGCATACTCAACTGTAATGGAGTTCCTGCTTCCCTTGATTGTTCCTCTCATGTTGTTCAGAGCTGATCTGTGCCGGGTCATCAAATCAACTGGAACCCTTCTCTTGGCATTCTTGATTGGTTCGGGTATGCTATAGTTGCCTTCCTAAGTCTTTAATTTCTTTACCATGGATATTAAGGCGCTTTGTTCTGTTCAGTGAGCTATCTGCATGTCACTGGACATTTTGAACTGTGATATACATAGAGGAACAACAGTGTTGTAAATCTTCAAAAAACTTTTAATTTTGTAAAAACGAAGTTGATGTCTATTCTTGTAATCTCTTCCTTAGAAGTTAGGACTGACGATGTTTGGTTCTCTGATAGTCTGAGTGTGAGTCACACTTTCACTTCCATCTCATACTGACATTTGTAACTTGTCCTTCATATGACAGTTGCAACAATAGTGGGAACAGGAGTGGCATATTTTCTGGTGCCAATGCGGTCGCTGGGTGAAGACAGTTGGAAAATAGCAGCAGCTTTGATGGGCAGACACATTGGTGGAGGTTATTTATGTTTATAGTAAAACTATAACCGTTGATGTTTTCAAGTTGAATTGATGTCAAAAGCCTTCAAGATCATTGATCAAGTGGTCAGGAGACACACAGGAGTTTGATTTGAATAAGTTGAACGAGTCTCTAACAATTTGCATTGCACCTTGTTGAGCTTGCAAATCTATATGGGGAGCCATATCATATTCTTCTGGATTCTTATCAAGATGTCATTGTTTCTTGTGCACACTAAACGGCCTGCTTCTTTTGGCGTTTTTTTCACTATGTTTATAAAGAAATTGTACACATGGACAAATTTTCACATTACAGAAGTGTATCATAGCTGCTTATCTGCTTCAATTTTCTGTATCACGATTGACATGTTTTCTGATTTTGATTTCACGTAGCTGTTAATTATGTTGCTGTTGCCAAAGCCCTTGGCCTCTCTCCCTCAGTTCTAGCATCTGGCCTAGCTGCAGATAATGTTCTAAATGCCATGTTTTTTGCCACACTATTTGCATTAGCCTCTAGAGTGCCTCCAGAAATTGAAACATCAGAAGGTATGCCAAGTTCTAGTCCTGCTTTAGACCCACCTTTTAATATGACTCACTTCTAACATACTTCTATATCTCTGTCTGTACGTATGTAACATGATAATCTATCCAAGGAAAATCGTTTGTTTGATATCCCTTGGTTGAATCAATTAATTGAGCTGTACTTTATATTGAGAAACTTCTGGCAGGTGCCAAGTTGGACGAAGGATCAGAAAACGACAAAAAATTTCCAGTGCTACAGATGGCAACATCAATTGCTGTGTCTTTTACTATCTGCAAGATTTCCGCTGTACTCACAACCTTTTTGGGAGTTCAAGGGGGCCAACTCCCAATTATTACAGCAATATCTGTCATTCTGGCCACTGCATTTCCAAAGCCATTTGCTTATCTTGCACCATCTGGTCAAGGAATGGCTTTAATTCTCATGCAGGTCAGCAATATACTCTTTGTGAAATGTTGTAGTGATGCATTTTATTCTCTCTCTTGGTTTTTTTGGTGCGTGTCTTTTCTCTTTTGCTTTGCTTGGGTAAGAAATTCACAAGAGAAACGTAATTAGGTTCTTTTGATAAGGTAACTGATAAAATAATTTTAAGAACCTCATGCATTTCAAGTAAAAATCTAAGTGGACCCCTTATACATCGCGTTGAACTTGAAGAATGGAGAATACTGTGCAATCTATTGCAGATTTCATATTTACAGGTTGTACCCAAAAGTTGAATTTTTTCCCCCTTTGCTAGAGCTAACCCTTTTGTTTAATTTTGGAACCTTGCTTTGTGGGGACAGGTGTTCTTGACAGTGGTGGGTGCAAGTGGGAGTTTATGGAACGTAATAAACACAGCACCAAGCATTGTTGTGTTTGATTTGATTCACTTGGGTGTTCATCTGGGTGTGATACTTGGCGTGGGAAAGCTTCTGAGGTTTGATTACAAGCTATTGCTTCTTGCATCAAATGCTAATGTTGGAGGCCCTAACACTGCTTGTGGCATGGCCACTGCAAAAGGCTGGGCTTCTCTCATTGTCCCGGGAATCCTTGCTGGCGTTTTTGGAATCTCCATTGCAACTTTCTTAGGAATTGGATTCGGTGTCACTGTGCTCCAGCACATTTACAAGTTTGGGATTTAGTTTTCTTTATCTTTTAGGATATTAATGAGGGAACATAACACTTTAAAACTTTGTATAAAGAATAATATCTTCAACTGTAATTATTCTTCTTACAAGATTCCGAAGTGTCATTTCCCTGGTTAATAATATTGATTTGGAAAAGAGATAAATTGAGTTTTAAATTAAATTATATGCATCTGACAATGTCATTGTTTTTACTGTTTTACCGATGGATGAGCTTATAAGATGGATATTGTATTTATTCACTTTTTTTTACAACGAAATTAAATCAAATTAGAAGATAATGACCTACCCTATAACCGTGAATCCTTGAAAATTCTAACACATGGAGTATTTTGGTATACTCATAAGTAAACTAGTATCTATATTAGTTAGCTTCTTTGAAATGTGATCCAACTATCCAATCCTGCACAATATAATTTTTAATATTCTAGATATAATTGATGATGGAATGGCTCAAATCACACTCATTGAGAATAATGGTGATGATTTTAGAGGAATTGCAATACATATTGACTTGAATTAATTTTTTCTCCCAACAAACTTTCACATTATCATCTACTTTGTTATAGAAAAAACAGAGGGAAAACCACTCACGAATCTAGCAGCAACAAAGGAAAGATATTTTTTTTTTAATATTAAGGGATAAAAATGCTCCGCAAATTTTCTCAAATGAGCTGAGTATTTTTATCTCTTATGAGTAACAATGTTGATTAAGAAGTTTTAAAAAAGATACAATTTTATCCAATCACTAACATAAGTTAATGTTGACTGTTAAAAATTTTAATTTTATCAAAAATTTGACACGTTTTTTTTCCCTATTCTTTTTGAATTGTTCTTCTTCTCTCTCTGTGACTTCTTGTGTTCTTTTTTTGTTTTTCCCCCCAAGCCACGAATTTTCGTTTTTTGTTTAATAATTTGTCTGGCTTTGCATCTCGCATTATGCTCCACCAACCTCCCTTACCATCTCTTGCGGCCAAAAAAGTCAAATTCATCCATGTGTCTTAATTCTCCTCCTTTGTCCATCTATCCATCAGCCCTTCTTTGTTTCTTCTCATTTTGCAACTTCTCCTCTGCCGTTGAAGAGTTTAAAAACAAAAAATCCAAAGTAAAATATTAAATTTCCATTCAAATGGGAAAACTATTGTGCGATTCAACGACCGTTGCCGAGTCGTTTCAAGGTTCATAGCTGATTGTCCCTTTGAGGGATCTAAAATCCGCCCCCTCTTGAAGCCATCAAAGCCTTAGATGTAGTTAACTAGATGAGTGTCACTGCCGTCACTGACTGTTGGGAAGACGTTCTTGGCTTGGAAGAGCAGCAAAGGCGACACCTACAGAGGCTGTAGTCCAAGGTCGTGCTTGAAGCCCCCCAGGATCAGCATTTCTTTATGCTTAGATCTGTCGTTTTCCGCATCTATCAGGGTGGCGAGGTCTCGACCGACGGTAATTGCCTCTTTACGGCTTCTTAAAAGGCAGAGCGTTCTTCCTTTTGTGGGTCGACAGGGCCAATGACAAAGAGGAAGAATGGCTCAAAGGAGGAGAGAATGTCCAACCCACTTACACATACACTAACATGAATATTCCTCGGCAACGGTTATGTCCCTTGGGTTGTAATGCTTCTGTCTTCTTTGCACACATTTTGCGCAATTGTAAGGTTTGAAAAACATCACTGAATCTCACAAAACTTAAGACCTTTTTCTTTCATGACATGCATGATTAGATGATTTACAATGTTAAAAATAAAGTTTGTAAAAAAATAACTAGAAGAATCTTTTAATAGAGACTCTTGATTAAGTTTATTGGAATATACGAAAAGCTAAATGTAAAAAAATTATTTAAAAGATAATTTTTTTTTTTGAAAAGCGACATTGTCTTTTTCTACACACAACAGATAATGAATGGCCTAAAGTTTCAATTCAAGATCAACCAAATAAGCAATAATAGCATAGATATGAAGTTAAATGGAATCTTTTTGAACCTAGGTGAATTAGACTTGATATAAATAGCTCTATAAATACTAATGGTGTTGCTTCAAGTGGAAGTATTATCAAATATGATAAGAATTTTTGGATCAAGAGATTTTTCAAGAACTTTGATTATTATCTTAGCACACTGTTGCCGAACTCTTTGCAATTTTAAAAGGTCTCATACTTTACTGAAATAGAAACTTACTAAAATTAATGTCCACTCCAATTCTTTGAAGGCATTATCGCTTATTGACATTGAATGTTGTGACTCTACCTTCCCTCTGTGATTGTTAGGAACATCAAAAATCTTTCTATGAGATATTGAATTGTTACTTTTAATCATGTTTATATGAAAGCAAACAACTGTTCAAATCTTCTAACTTACAAGACTCTTTATAAAAATTTTGATATTTTTATTTTTGTCATCCTAACTCCCAACTATATATAAGCATCATGACTTTTGATATGACTAAACTTTAGTCTTTTTAAAACTTTCAGACAACATTACTCCTCTAAAAAGATAAGAATGCTTATAGCTTCCATGAGAAAATTTCCAAAACATTTTTTACCTTAAAACCTTTTTTTAAATAAAGGAATTTTGATAAATGCGCTTCAATTTTTGTTTTTTTAACAATTTGAAGCCTTCAGGACTTGAGTTATTCTTACATTTCGAAACTTTTTGACAATTAAAATTCTCATGCAAAATCTGTGCGATTTTCTCAAATAGATAGCCAGATAGGCTACGGTTATTTTAAAAAAGAAAGAGAAAGCTATTGAAAAAAAAAAAAAAAAAGTTGTCATGTGCAATGCACGTGGTAACTGCCATTGCCCTATTTTCCACATGGATCAGGATCTTATGGACGTTTGCCAACCGAGAGAATCACGGCAGTACATGATAACGCTGTGATTTTCGTCGGAAATTTCCGTTACGAATGGCCGCCTTGGGAACCCCGTCTCCCGTCAGTATCACCGTCCTCTCTTGTTCGCCGTCAATCCCGTGGTGTCACCGTCCGTCCCATTGTTTCCGCGATCGCAGCGTCAAACTAATCCTGCCACCTGAGGTTGGAGCCTTATCTGAAAGAACCATAAGACCATTTCCGAAGAGGCTGACATTGACGCGTAATTCAGTTCGACCTTTCCATGTTAGGTCGCAGCTGAAATGCCCCATCGTATCTCCTGATGATCACTGGGGCACATGGTCCGCTCTCTTCACCATTGGCGCTTTTAGTCTCTGGTAATAACATGTACCTCTCTTTGCATCATTTACATTCTACAGCTAGGTACTTTTTTCTGCTTTCTTATTCTTTTTTTTTTTTTGGTCTGGAAATGTGGGGAAATTCAAATGTGAATTTTATTTTTGAAATAGAAGGTCGACTTAGTTGTGCTGAAGATGTTGGCAAAAAAAAAAAAAAAAAGTTGTGCTGAAGATAGTCCATTTGTTGTTTTATTTTTGCAAAAACGTGATATATCTAAGTATTATATAAACTCGAAGCCTCCGTTAATCTGGGACAAATTTTATTTGTTATTGCTAGAAACTACAAATGTTATTCGACGCGAAGCTGTCATTGCTGACAAATTCTCCGAATTTATCTACTTTCAAATTAGATTTTTTTCCTGTTAATTACTTAAACATTATCTTGGAATGTAATTATACATGGAATTATTAGTTTCGTAGGCATACCTGGGTAATTTTTAGTTGTAAATGAATATATTTTACGTGAAATGCAAGGTCGGAGAAGACCAAGATTGGAAGCATGGTAAGTGCTGCCCTGGTGAGCACCTTTGTTGGCCTTGCAGCAAGTAATTTAGGAATACTTCCTTATGATGCACCGGCTTATTCATTTGTTTTGGAGTTTCTGCTGCCCTTAGTTATTCCATTGCTATTATTTAGAGCAAATTTGCGCCACGTGGTGAACTCGACGGGGACACTACTGTTAACTTTCTTGCTTGGTTCAGGTGATTTAAGTTACTTGGGATAGTCCTGTATGCTCAAACACGTAAAGATTGCACTTAAACTTATACAGACGATGAAATGATTAAAAGCTCTTCTATGATTGAAAAGCTCTGGTAATTTTATTCAAGCTAACACCAAATAGAGGCAAATACAACGCTCACTCAGAAAACCAACTTAAATGAGAAAGTAACAGCACCACAGTTACATAGTATGAGGAATAGCCGAAAGAAGAGAATTATCACAAAAAGGAAGAGCAGGGGAAAGGGAAGAAAATGCCAGAGGAAGGGTCAGAATGAGACATATAGCTACTCTTTCTTTCACCTTCGAAGGTCTGTGACCACCTTATCAGTCCATTATTTTCATCCCCAGTCCATGCTTCCCCATGGCCCATCACACTCAAGCCCTATATCATTACAAAACATTCACCAAAATCAGAAATTCTCCTGCGCCTGTTTTGTAGTCTGTGGAGAAGTTGCATAAATATACCTTTACTTTGTTGATGATATATTTGGATTGTTGAGGCCTTGAACAAACTAAAAGGGAAGAAAAGCAAAAAGAAGTTTGTATGAATTATTTTATAATGGAAATGACAAAATAAGATCAAATAGTTGATGATTGATGAGCCTCTTAATGTTCCTCTGCTTTAGGGTCGTGCTTAGGGAAAAATGGAGCCGTTGTAATGTCATAGATATTGAAACTTTGTTTAATTATAACAGTATTTTTAAAATCTTGTTTTGTTAATTCTATTTTTAATCTCATGAATGGCAGTTGCTACTATTGTTGGAACTCTAATAGCATTCTTGATAGTGCCAATGCGATCTCTTGGTCCTGACAACTGGAAAGTGGCAGCAGCTCTCATGGGTAGCTATATTGGTGGATGTAAGTTCCTCAACAAGTTGCAACAAATAGCCTGCATCGTGCCCAAAGCATGGATACAAATCATTAATCTATTAAATAAATTGCAAATTTTATGTTAACTTCATCTTTAAATAGTGGTAATGTATTATAATTGGTGTGGTCCTTTACCTTATGTATTCTGTATGATTTTATCATGTTTATATTCATCATGTATATGTAATATTTAATAAGAGACATTCATGGATATAACTGTAGAACATGTTTAACGTAACTAATATAGTACCTAATATGTTTTTACTTTGGGTCTTCTGTATGGGACTTTCTCATTAAAGGGGTGCCCAATGAATGATTGATGTATATCAAAGAATTGGCATGCAGCAATGAGGATAAATAATTTGGCGTGACTTCGTGGATGTTTATGTTGCATTATGTTTTGAGATCATGAATTTATTAGTACATAAAATTATGTAGGTGCTCTAATTTTGGAACTTCAGTCTTGGTGGTATCTCTTCCCCAACTGAAAAATTTTGTGCATTCATTTTTACAATAATGATAAAATAACTGAATGAGTTTCCTTGCTCGGGTTGATTGCTGTAGCTGTTAATTATGTTGCTATTTCAGAGGCACTTGGTGTGTCTGCTTCAGTTTTAGCTGCTGGAGTGGCTGCAGACAATGTTATTTGTGCCACACATATTATGGTATTGTTTGCATTGGCTTCTAAAATACCTCCTGAAGCTCCAGCCTCAACCACTGGTATGAATTTCTGGTTCTTTTCACATCCTGTTGGGCTGGAAGATGAACATCTTTTTATCTTTTCATATCATTTGCTTGATATTTTTAAAAATTCGCTGATTTTTGCTTTGCTTTTTGCCTTTGAGCCAAACTTTTTTTACTCTGCATTTTATTTCTTGGTAAGTTTGTTAAGATTGCTAGATACTAGTAACTTTTTATTTGGTCATATTACCTTCAGCAGGTTATTTGCCGTTTTGGTTCACTGTCATTATAATATTCCATGCATTAAGAATTGATTGCCCATATACCTTCTGAGTTGTAGTGCCTACACAAGCACCCCATATCTAGATTCTTTCCCCTGTCAGTGCCAGTGTGCCACACAAAAAATGATGATACAGAAAAAATCAGATGTTGTTAAAAAAATGCATTTAAACATCTTGGTTAGACTATGTCACCACATTGGCTGAATCACTGACCCTCTTCCTTCACTGTCATTGCAAATTAAACTGGTCTGCCTGCAGAGCAGGAACTGTGCGAGTTTTAATCTTTTACTCTGGTTCCATTCACCGGTCCACGTACATGATTTTAAGAATGTTGCTCAATTCTTTTTGTCCATAAATTTGATTTAATGAAACTTGCAATGATCTAAGCTCATGCAATGAAGAGAAAAGGCAAAATACTTACTTAGATAAATACTTTAAGGAATGACCTTCCTGATGCAGCTAAGTCCTAATGTAAACAAAAGGGGGTTCTTTACCTTTGGAGAGTTTAATGGGGAGCTGTTGGAGATTTATTTTGTGGAAATAACTGGTACATAATATCTTGAATCTAGATGCAGCAATTCTTTCTATTATTTTGTCAAATGAAAAATTTGGCTTGACGACAGCTAATATTGGCAGATGATGCGATGTATAGGGAGAACAATGATGAGAACAAGATAACCGTCTTGCAGTTTGCTGCTGCACTTGCTACATCGTTTCTAGTATGTAAAGCTGCTGAAAGCCTAACAAAATTCTCTGGAATTCACGGAGCAACTCTTCCCGGAGTTACAGCAATCATAGTCATTTTAGCCACTCTACTCCCAAGGCAGATCGGTTCCCTTGGACCTGCTGGTCACACTGCTGCACTGGTTTTGATGCAGGTAGCAAAATCTGTGAACCCTTATGAAGACCTCGTTTCCTTTGATTTGGTGATGTGACCTTGCAAATAATCATCATGAGATATGTTGCCTAGGTATTTTTTGCAGTGACTGGAGCTAGTGGGAGTGTGAGGACTGTCATCAAGACTTCCCCAAGTATTTTCATGTTTGCTCTAATCCAAGTAACCATCCATCTTGTTGTAGTTCTTGGGTTGGGAAAGTTGTTTGGGTTTGATTTGAAACTGTTACTGTTAGCATCCAATGCCAACATAGGAGGTCCTGCGACTGCCTGTGGGATGGCCAAAGCAAAAGGGTGGGAATCTCTAGTGGTTCCTGGCATTCTTGCAGGCATTCTTGGCATTTCCATTGCTACTTTCGTCGGCATTGGATTTGGAGTTATGGTTCTCAAGCACCTTTAAGGTTCAATAACAAGCATTACAGCAACCTATCTGAACTCATGATATTTTTCTTCCGGATGAAGATTTTAATGTTGTCTAAGATATCATTTTGCTTATAGCTGATGGTGACTGCTTTCATGTTATTGTTCCATCATGAAAATACTCAAAATAATAACAGTTACAACCAAATGTCATTATATTAATATGATGTCACTGACTGAACAAAATTGAATAATAAAAAAATTCAATCAAATACCACGGTGATGTAAAGATATAGATTGAAGGGAAAAATATGTTATAAGGAGTTTAATAAATTAGAGAAAGACTAAAGGAATAAAAAATTTGTCTGGAATTTGTTAGGAGCATGCTATTCATGGCTTATGAATCGTAGAATTTTATATAGATTTTATCTTTCATGCTCAAATTGATGTTGATAGATGATGTTCACAAATTATTTTGTTTAGTAATCTCATTAACTGTTGTTTAGTGATCTTATAAAATTATTACAAGTATTCCACTCAAATATTACTCTATACTAAATATATATTTAAAATTTACAATCTACTTCCAATTTCATTACCAGCCCCAATCTTTATACCAAACAGGGCTTTTATGTTGTTGTTTGGTAAACAATGGTCCATGACAATTCACCCCAAAAAAAGAAACGAAAACGGAGAATTTCAGGACATTCATTTGAAGCAATCCCGTTAGATAAATACAGTTGAGGTTAAGGAGATTACTAATTTAGACGCACGCTCTTATAAGGATGTCCCTCTGCGCGTCCGTGCGCGTAAGTTCAGGACATTCATTCTGCTAGTTAACAAGGATGTCCTTGTATCTCTCTCTGCTTGCCTGGATGCCCATTTGTTCTATTTCTTGTTTCCAAGCAATTTCTCTCATTCTTAATAATATATATACTCCATCCGTTAAAAAATATAAAGCATTTTTAATATTTTAAAATATAATTATTGTTTTTTTTTTAAAAGTGTCCTTATTAATAATAATCTTATATTTATTATAGGGTGTTTAATAGGAGTAAATATGAAAAGATAGAGCTAGTTGAAACAAGTGGTATCAAAGTGAAGTTTCGTTTATAATCAAAATCACATTTGCGAAAAGATTGTCAAGATGTCTAATTGTGAGTGAACTGCAATCAAGTAGTTAGTATCATATCAAATAGAATTTGACTTAATAACTAATATATAATAAAGTTGAAAGAGTTATAAACCTTAACTTTAAAATTTTGAGTTAAGATATGATGTATTTCACCTTTGCTGCCTATTTGTTTTCTTCCTCTCTTTTTGGTTTTATTGTTCACACAATAATAGAGAGCCCGTAGATAAAGTTGGAAATTAGAGTTGAGTTTTGCTAAGCTCGATTATACATTAGAGTTCTATTTTGCAAAACATGACCCTAACCTTTAGGACTGATGAGCTAGCCTTGCAGGTCTTGGCCCCAATATATATATTTTTTCTCTTTTAATTTAAAAATTTTAAAAAAAGGATTTATCTCAAAAAAAGTTATCACACAAAAATTAAGTCGAAAAAATAAATTTAAGTAAATCCACTCAACAAATATGGAAGCGAAGCTCAGAGTCTAGGACTAGGACTGTGTTATTTTCGTGTCATTGGCGTTGGTGGGGGAAGCCAAGCTAATGGCGGATGATGGTTCCATTTACGTTAGAGATCGAGGAGTGTAAGTGTCTATAGAGGGGAGGGGAGGCCACACCTCTAAATGCTCCTTTTTCTTCGTTTTGTGACTCGTGAAGTGGGTAAGTGTTTACTGGCTGTTGGTAACAGTCTAGGGTTTTCAATTTAATCATCAATCTCTTATTTTTTAAAATGATTTTTTTTTTAAAAAAATAAAACTTAAAAGGGCCAGCTTGATTTTTTAGGCCCATTAGGGACGGCTCATTTAAAGCTCAAAATGCAGCTTGAAGTTGCAGCCTAACTCATGTTATTTCCAAGCTTGAAAGAGCCAACCTGACAAACTTAGTCCTAATTCCTGACTTTAACTATAAATATATGAGATTTTTTTTTTTATATCAAGTCAAATCAACTCACACTTATAAGTACACCATTAACCACACAAGCATGCTCCACCTGACGCCAATATGCTACAATAGCTTAGCCCAATCTGCTGCAAAAGTTCCTAATGAATTTCATGGGCTTTTTGTGAAGTGATATGAGAAAGGCTTAGTGCACAACTCATGGTGATCATTCACGTACATGGGAACCAGCCGCCATAACTGGAAAAAAGAGTTTTTAAATTCTTAATGTTTGTGTGCTTCACAACTAAGAATAAATATATGAGATTTTTTTTTTATATCAAATCAAGTGAACTCACACTTATAAGTTCACCATTAACCACACAAGCATGCTCCACCTGACGCCAATATGCTACAATAGCTTAGCCCAATCTGCTGCAAAAGTTCCTAATGAATTTCATGGGCTTTTTGTGAAGTGATATGAGAAAGGTTTAGTGCACAACTCATGGTGATCATTCACGTACAAGGGAACCAGCCGCCATAACTAGAAAAAACAGTTTTTAAATTCTTGATGTTTGTGTGCTTCGCAACTAAGAATAAATTATACACCTCTCCCTCTTCTTAGCCGTTAGATAAAATATACAGTCAAGATTAACCCAACTATTGCACAAATTCCACTGCACTGGATCCAAATCCTAAGGGATATGACGGTTTGCGGAGCGTCCGGGGAAAATGTCACTTTACTGTTAATAATTAATAATAATAATAATAATTAAACAGTTATTACTCTATTTTTTTTTTTGCTATTGGAAATAGTAGTAATTCAATAAAATCAACCAAAAGGTTATCAGATTCTGGAGAAGTACAATTTTTGACAATATTTATTATCAGATTATCTTCATTGTTACCGACACTGATATAATAAGGATTTGATAGATTATCTGTAATATTTTTTAGTTTTAAAAATTACATTTTTAATCTTACTTTTTTAATGAAATTAATGATTTATACGATCTACTATCTTATAGAAATACAGATATTTAATTCTGTTTACTAGTACAGTTGCAATAATTAAATGGGAAAATACCGTTGGCAAAAAATAATAATAATAAATGGGAAAATCTGGAAGTTCCTATAGTTTACACCTATTTTCGAGATAGTCCTTATATTTCAAAACCTTAAGAAACGTTCCTCAGCTTGCAATTTACTCCGTTACTGGGGTTAATATATCCTTAGAATTTCGAAGGACCAAAAACTCATTTGCACTGTGTACAATTTGGCTTTAACAGCGTTTACGTGCTGAGGTAGAGAGGCTCGCTTACATGGATGCTTTATCATCACACACATCATAGTTTTACAAATTAAAAATAAAAAGCAAATAAGCAATTAAATTAACATTAACATTTTTATGAACGAAAAAACAAAACCTTCCGTGCAGACAAAAAAACCAGGGTGAGCCAACCTCGACCTTATCTCTTCCGTGTTCGGTACAGATGAATGAAGGCTAGCCACAGGGTCCAAACGTTAATTATAAGAGCTATCCAAGACCAGAAATTGATGCAAACGTTGAATCTCCAGAATTCTCCCTCAAGGGGTAAGGAATAGACAGTTTTGTCATCACCTTCAGTTTTGCAATGCGGGATGAGAAGGGTGATTGGAAACATGCTTGCTTAAGAAAGTGAGCCTAGTACCTCCGACCATTGCGGAGCTAATAGCTTTATCTATGAGATTGAACTTTTGTTGGAACAAGCGATGCCCAAGTTTAGAATGTGTTTGCTAGGGATATATATCTGATGATCCTACCCACCACGTTAGATCGATTTAGCTAGAAATTTTTGTGACTAATCACAGCGATAGGATGCTGAGTGATGTTATTAGATGAGTCAAAGCATAGTTGTTTTGCTTCCTTTTGCTTGTTTTAGATATGCAATATCACTACTCTGTTCTAGCTTCAGCTTTGTTGGCTTTTGTTTAGTTTAATTTCGTGATCAGCCTCCATGTGAAACACATTTTTTCACTTGCATTTGCTCAGATTTGATTTAGTCAAGGAATTATCTAAGGTTTGGTCTCAAATTGTGTGGTTTGGTTCTGTTTAATTTCAACCTTCACTTCCTCTCCAGAGCTTGGAGTTAGCAAGACGTTCGTTAAAACACAGGGACTGGATTGAAAACAAGTGCATGTAGATAGATAACGGGTTGTGATCAGCAAAGGAGATCTTAGGGAGAACTTTCACAACACACTCAAGAAATGTAGAGACAAAGGGAATGTTAGCTAATGCTCGGTCTAACCTTTCAAAGAGGTGCAAGCATCCGTGAAGTTGTGGCCTTTTCCAGGTAAATTTGGGACCTAAAAAACCCAAATCCAGAAGTTTCCAATCGTCGATTCTATCCTAAAACTAGTTGATGCGATTCAGATTACGGGATCATCCACTAACCTTTTCAGAAGGAGATGCGATGTCATTAAAGTCACCAAACATGATCCAAGGTTCAGTAATTGAAGCTACGAAGTTGGCTAAATTTTGCCAGAGTGTTCTACGAAGATCAGAGTGAGGAATAGCATAGACTGCAGTGGCAATGAAGGTGGGGCTTCCAATCAAATTGCAACGAAAGTGAATGAACTGTCTGTTCTCATTAAGAATACTGATTTGAACATCTCTACCATCCCAAGCTAGAGTTAAACCTCTCGAGCGTCCCATACTGGGTATTATTTTGAGAGTTACAGCCGAGTGAGAGAAGTTTTTGAAGGCGAGAGTCCTCTTCACAGCGAGTGTCCAAGAGAATTAAAATGTTAGGCTTAGGCCCAGTCAAGACTGCTCTAAGGTGTTTTAAGAGGCCTTTGCCGCAGGACCCCCTAGAGTTCCAATAAAATATTTTGACAATCGTTAAACAGGTTGTAAAGCATAGTGGTCCAAAGATAAGACCCATTAAAATTGGGTTTCGGGAACTATGGACTCTAGTAATTGATCATTGTTGCTCGTGTCTGCGTGGAAAGGTTATCTAGCACCATCCTGCTCCACTTGCATATTAGATTGCTCATTTGGATCAATTGAAAGGAGACAAGCATTTCTATTGTCTAAATTTGATTGGGCTTCGACTTAATAGGCCCTCAAATCAGTGTTCTATCACTCTCCTCCCAGGTTAGCATAAGAACT